GATAGATAGATAGATAGATAGATAGATAGATAGATAGATAGATAGATAGACAGATAGATAATCCTAACTCTATACGCACTGGAACAGAAATTATAGACCTATCTTTTAGCTGAAAGCAATAATCTGTGTTCACAGAACTCTGTGCTCTTTTGTTTTTTCATTTTCCCCTTTCCTCTACTCTAAAAAAGTGACTAAACACTAAAGTAACTTTTGAGTAAGGTTCCATTCTTTTATTATATAACTTGTAGCAATGACACAGAAGTGCTTGCCCACTATCCTTGGTCCTGCTTGACTCTTGAGAACATTCAAGATGAGTTGGAGGTTGCATTTGGATTGGCAAAAATGGCTGTCAGATTTTTCTATGCCATTTTTATTTATTTATATATTGGAATTTGCCAAACAAAAACTAGAATGAGAATAAGAGAATAAAAATACAATGACAGGGATGATAGGCACGTTAGTACACTAATGCATGCCCCCATTACTGACCCCTTAGTTTTCCCATGAACCTTTGACTCAAGAGGTAGAATCCAAAGCTGCAAGACGATGGATGGAGCACCAAAATGCCCCTTTTGTACCCGCTAAGGGAGGTAAGGCCTTGATCACAGTGCCATGTCTGCCAGACTGCCTCTGTTTCTGTGGATATCCCTGCTTCAGAAGAAAGGAGGATGGGGGAATAACCATCCAGAGACTCACATAACGCTGGACGATCTGCTTTCTTTCACTGGGGTCTCCCAGAGGGCACACGCACAAATCAGAGATGGACACCCCTAAGCAAGGTGCCACAGAGATCACCATCATCAGGAAACCAGGCTGTTTCTCCAGAGGCAATTCCAAAAAGTTGGCTTGTTTTTCAGAGAGTCCTCCAACATCAACTTTGCATCTAAACCATTGGAAGGCAAAAGAAAACACAGTCAGTTCGTACCTGACATCATTATGGTCATCCCTCCATACAAGGCGCTGGGTGCTATACAATGTTCAACATCGGATGGAGGGATAAGAATTTTATATATATTTTTAATATATATATATATTACTGAACTTTTCCACATTAAAAAAAAACTTATATACAATCTTCACAGTATAGTGACATCAAAATTTCCATTTGGGTCAATATACATATTTACGTTAATTTTTATTCCTACTCTCTAACCAGTTATACCATTTCTCCCAGACCGTATAGTATTCCTTATCTTCTCTATCTTGCAATTTGAATGTGAGTTTGACTGTTTCTGTGCAATCCATTGTTTTCTTTATTATCATACTATCAGGTGGAATGCTATCGAATTTACAACTCTGTGTGTAAGTGATTCTTGCCGCTGTCACTATGTGTATTATAATATATTTCATTTCTTTCGTATATACTCCTCTAATTATTCCAAGGAGAGACATTTCAGGTTTGAGTTCAGTTTGGGAACCAGTGATTTCCAGCAGCCATTTTCTTATTTTATTCCAATATTTTCTTGCTTTGGGGCAAGACCACCACATATGAAAGAAAGTGCCTTGTTTGTATTTGCATTTCCAGCATTCTGGACTCATGTTTCTGTAAATTTTGGGCAATCTTGCCGGTGCTAGATGCCAACAGTAATGGAGGATAAGAATTTATAATGTTCGCTGAAGCCCTCCAAGAAATAGTTACAACTTTTCCACTTCAAAGGACGCAACTAATTTTGCCTTTCTGTCCCAAAATTGGTAGTTCCTTTAATGTCTATGAAGACTCTCAATCATCCAGGTCATGGTTGTCCCAACGGTGCTTTTACCAAAAGGCAACTGGACTTTATTGGGGGAGGGGGGGGTCCCTTGAAAAGATTTCGCTTCTCATCCAAGAAGCTTCTTCAGTTCTGAAGAGCAGAACAGAACTGAAGAAGCTTCTTGGAGGAGAAGCAAAACTTTTTCAAGGAAAAGAAGAAGAAAGTCCAGCTGCCTTTTGGCAAAAGTACTGTTGGGATAGTTTCTTTAATCCATGTACCCAAAACATTTCTTGCAGAAAAACGCACCCCTGAATAAACTCTGTTTAAGAAAGGAGTGCTCAAAAAGAATTCTTTAATCAGGAACATTATAAGAATCAAATTAGGGAAGATTCCTGTGCAAAGAACAATATTTTTTTTTAATATTAAGAACAAATAACCAAATCAAGAGAACTGACATTCAATGTTACACCTCTGCAGATAAACTTCCAAGAAACATCATGGCTGAAAAATGGATGCATTGTGTTTGAATAAACTCTTTAAAAACTTTTAAGAATGGATGGGTCCTTATTTTGAGGCAGATCATCAAGCGGGACCTAATTTGTCTAGTTTAATGAAAAGGAGGACTCAGGGTGACATGATAGCAGTGTTCCGATATCTCAGGGGCCGCCCCAAAGAAGAGGGGAGTCAAGCTATTCCCCAAAGCACCTGAAGGCAGAATAAGAAGCAATGGGTGGAAACTAATGAAGGAGAGAAGCAACCTGGAACTAAGGAGAAATTTCCAGACAATTAAAACAATAATCAGTGGAACAACTTGTGTTCAGAATTTATGGGTACTCTCTTTTAAGAAGAGACTGAACACCCATTTGTCTGAAATCACATAGAGCAGTGGTCGCCAACCAGTGAGCACTAGTGGTCTGTGAGAAAATTTTGATGATCCGTAGAGAAATGACACTCTCAAAGCAATTAATCCAGGCTGCATGGGAACACAAGGCTGTGCTGCCCACATGGCCCGCGGGAACACAAGGCTTGCACCCCTTGCACTGCAAACATGAGGTAGTGAGGGGAGGGGGTAAAGAGCGGAGGGGGGAACTTGCCCCACTCACCCCACGCGCCTGGCCTGGCCACTGGGCTGCTTCTTTCCACTTCTTTCTTCTGCTTTTGGCTGCATGGAAGGAAAGCAGCAAAGGTCTTTCTTTCTCTCCCCCAAACTCCACTAGAAATGAGTCTTTGGGACCCTGCAAGGCATCCTACTCTAAGAGACTGCGCCAGCGTGACAAGTCTCACAAAGACTCATTTCTGGTGGAATTTGGGGGAGAGAAAGAAAGACTTCTGCTGCTTTCCTTGCATGAAGTCAAAAGTCTCTCCCTCTCTCTCCCCCCGAGAATGGAGCTGGAGACGGTATCCTGTGATCCCAAATAAAGAACAATCGATTGGTAGGAAAACAGGGTGGGGAATTTTCCTGCAGCCTTTTTGGGGGGTTTTCCCAGGGTTTCTGGTCTGCGGGACTTAAAATTATGAGTTTGGTGGTCCCTGAGATCCAAAAGGTTGGCGACCCCTGACATACAGTCTATGTCATATATGCTCATCTTTCCACCCCAACACCATTTCTTCCTCCCAAGGAAGATTCCAGGGAACAAACATATGGTGTTGTGGAAAGTTGGATCTGATCACTTGCAGAAAGATTATGAAATTGCAGAACAGATCTAAAATAAGGCTTGTGAGGCTCACAATAGTTCTGGCTATTTGATTCCCAAAAAGAAATTCATCTCTAGCCACTGTCGAGATGCACTGTGGGCTAGTGGCTGCTATACCTTCTCTGTCCCTGACTTCTCCAAAGCACCTGAAGGCAGGACAGGAAGCAACAGAAGGAAACTAATCAAGGAAAGACGCAACCTAGAACTAAGGAGAAATTTCCTGACAGTTAGAACAGTTAATCAGCAGAACTGCTTGCCTCCAGAAATTGTAAATGCTCCAACACTGGAAGTTTTTAAGAAGAGATTGGGCAACCATTTGTCTGAAATGCTATAGGGTTCCCTGCCTAAGCAGTGGGTTGGACTAGAAGACCTCCAAGGCCCCTTCCAAATCTGTTATTCTATTTTAGAAATGGAACAGCCCGCCCTTCCAAAAAAGGGGTCTAAATGGGTCACCACCTTATCTCAGTTTTCATGACGATGCACTCCAGACGATTGCTTCCAGAAAGCAGCATTTGCCATTTTAGGGGGAGGAAAAATGCATTTCTTTTAAAGATACACACACACACACACACACACACCATTGAAGTCTTCAAAAGTGGATGAAAAGGGAGGAAGGGGAGGAAATTCTTCTCAGATTTGTAGCAGTGAGAAGACCAGTGATGTGAGCATTCAAAGCTCTTTTGTTTGGAAGCAAATGGAGCACAACTTCCAGGGAACTCTGCAGATTTCAGCTCTTACAGAAGATAAATACTTGAAGCTTCAGAACCCTGCCGGGTATTTGCAGGAGTCAAGTTTTTGGATGGTGAGAGAGAAATTGGAACAGATTTTGACAGAGGAAGGCCTGTGCAAAGGGTTTTGTTTAAAGCAAGGACTTGTTAAGGTGTTTCCGGAGGAGGAGGAGGAGGAGGAGGAGGAGGAGGAGGAGGGGGAGGAGGAGGAGGAGGAGGAGGAGGAGGAGGAGGAGGAGGAGGAGAAAAAGGAAGAGCATCTCCTGGGGGCTTCTGCTTGGGAAATGGAACATGCCTCCATCCCGAGGAGACTCTAGAGCCTGAACCCTTGCTGTCCATCTGCCATGACGTACAAAAACTTTTCATTTCTAAATAGCTGGTTTTGAAGAAGAAAGGAAGGCACAAAACCCCGGAGGTTTCAGCAATCTCCTGGCAAAATCTTCTGAATGCTTCCTTTTTAATAGGGTTTCAGTCAAGAGAATGAAAGCATCTCAAAATGTCTGTGGAGATTCTCAGTCATCGATGTCTCAAAGGTGTTCCTTTTTTTCTTCTTCAAAAGACAACTGAACTGGTTTTTTTCTGAGGAGGAGGAGGAGGAGGAGGAGGAGGAGGAGGAGGAGGAGGAGGAGGAGAAGAAGAAGAAGAAGAAGAAGAAGAAGAAGAAGAAGAAGAAGAAGAAGAAGAAGAAGAAGAAGAAGAAGAAGAAGAAGAAGAAGAAGAAGAAGAAGAAGAAGAAGAAGAAGAAGAAGAAGAAGTTGTTGTTGTTGTTGAAGTTGTTGTTTGACTTCTCATCCAAGAAGAGGGAAGGATTAGTTCTGTCAGGAGAGAGGGAGTGGGTTGGAAGGATCTTGTTTCTTACGTTCTGGTCATTAGCACTCTCCCTGAAAGCTCTTGAGGCCACTTGAGAATTTAGCTGTGCCCTCAGGGTCACCTGTATGTGCAAATGGGGAGAAGAATCTTCTTGGAACTGCTGAAAGGACAGCATTATGGACAGGAAACCGTGTTGTAGACAGAACACCTCAACATGAGAATGACTTCTTCATGGACAACCATGTCCATTCCACCTTCATCTCTTGAAACCTTGCACTCAACTGCACAGTCTGTTAGAGACAAACAAAGTATATTCGAACTGAACTGATTCATATTGGTGAAATGTTGCTCCTTACATAGTTGATAATTTGAACCAAAGGTGCTTTTTCAGGAGGCAATTGGATTTTCTTTTCTTTTTTTTTTTCTTTTGAAGAAGTTTTGCTTCTCATCCATCTATTCCTGAAGACGCTTCTCGGGTGAGAAGTGAAACATCTTCAAAAGAAACAACAAGAAAGTCCAGTTGCCTCCTGAAAAAGCACCTCTAGACAACCATGACCTGGATGATGGAGAACCTCTACAGACTCATACTTTGAAGGGAGCATGATGAAGAAGGAATGAAAGAACCAAAGTGTGCATGAGGAACTGATATTATGAGATTCTTCTGGGTGGATATGAAAGTAGCTCCTTGGTTGTGACACTTGAACATTGCACCGCAGCGCACAAGGATAGTGAAACAAGCCGGAAGGATGGGGAGAGGTAAAAATGTACACTTTATAAATGCTTGTTCAGTTGGAGCTTGTACTTATCATTTATAATAAGATAAAATGTAATAAGATGATTATTATTGTTTTGTCATAAGACTGTTATCTTCCAGGGAATCTTAAGCTCCTCAGAAAATTGTCCTGACAATTTCATCTGAACAGATAAAGATCAGCTCCAAAGTTCCTATGTTATGGAACTTTCTATCCAATTTTAATTATAGAATAACACAGTTGGAAGGGACCTTGGAGGTCTTCCTAGTCCAAGCCTGTATCATTCTGGACAAAGGGCTGTCCAGTCTCTTCTTAAAAAACCTCCAGTGATGGAACACCCACAACTTTTGGAGGCAACTTGTTCCACTGATTAAGCGCTCCCACTGACGGGAAATTTCTCCTTATTTCTAGGTTGCATTTCTCCTTGATTAGTTTTCACATTTTACTTCTTGCCCTGCCCTCAGGTGCTTTGGAAAATAGCTTGACTCCCTCTTCTTTGTGACAGCCCTTCAAATTTTGGAACACTGCCATCACGTCACCACTAGTCCTTCTCTTCAATTAGACTACCCAGTTCCTACAATCTTTCATCATACGTTTTAGCCTCCATTCTCCTAATCATCACTGTTGCTCTTCTCTGCACTCTTTGTAGGGTCTCAGCAACTTTTGGGGATCACGGTGACCAAACTGGACACAGTATTTCAAGTGTGGTCATACCAGTGCAGGGTAAGGCATTAAACCTCACTAGGACAAAGGTCTTCTGATGTGAGAAGGAGATTAGGTTAGAAACGGTTAGGAGTGGTGAAAGACCTACAACAGAGGCTGTCAGTTTCAATATTTAATTTTTATTTCTGGTGTGACTTGGCCAATAAAGAATTCTATTCTATTTATATTCTTATTTGCTTGATTGTACCGCTTAGCTAAGGAACTGTAACTACAGTCCACATTGGTCGCCAAACAATTCCAGGGCACGGATCCATGGAAAACATATCAAGACATGGTCATATTTAAAACCGCGGACTAATTGAATTGAACTGATTCAGAAAGAGGAGGAGGCGGCAAGGGGAGAAGGACTTTGCTAAGAGCCAAACGCATCTTGAGTTTAATGTACAATCAAGCTGTTTAATTACTTGGGAGTCTAATTGTTTGCACAGTAATTATTTCTCCCTGTCTAAGCAATAGAACCATCCTTTCCCTGTCTTGCAATAGAAGGCAAGGGAAGCCAGCAGCAGCTGTTCCAAACAAGGACCAGAGCACAACATAAACCCGCCATGGTCATGCTTTCAAAACGGTTTCCCCATGGCGAGAGACTCCCACCTCCGTTCTAACTGTTTGCAACTATTTAACACCAGAATGGCTGCAACCATATTGCCTTTTGCCAGTCCTCTGCTGGTAATAAGCCAGCCGTATAGAACTGGCGGGTGGGGAGTCGGGGAGAGTGGGAAGAAGTAGAATCTCGTAAAGCTTAAAGAGGCAATCCGTTCGGGAACCCGCAGGAGACATCATAGAGAAGTCAAAGGGAGGAACCCTTCACGGTGGGAGTAGCCACTTGCCAAGAAGCGGAGGGGGCTAAGAAGTTTGTGGCACCGCCATCTTCATGGGGCCTGCGCAAAGGAAAAGTCCCAGGCTCAGAAATGTTTGCGTTTGTTATCACTTCCTGTTCTATTTAATGAAAGAGACACGGCTCTTAACGTTTCAGTAAAATTCTCTTGGGCAGTGACAGAAGTTAAAGGCCTTTGATCTTATCTCCCCTCCTTTTTAGCACCTGACTGGTTCCAGGGAGAGGCAGGAATTTACCCCCCCACACACACACACACAGGATAAAGGGAGATGCCAGAGGTGGGATGTACATATCTGAGGGTGATCTTCCTTTCTGGATTTCACAGGAACCTCAGCATCAAAGCTCAGGGCAGAAGCATCCCAACCTGCACATCTGCACTGGAAGGACACATGCTAAAACCAACACAGATGAAAACCACACCTCTGAGCTCACACTAAGGGTCAGTCCCCTTATAAAATCAAGCCTCTGGATTCCACTTTCTCTGTAAAAAGGTAAAGGTTCCCCTCGCACATCCCTGCTAGTCGTTCCCAGCTCTAGGGAGCGGTGCTCATCTCTGTTACAAAGCCAAAGAGCCAGCACTGTCCAAAGACACGTCCGTGGTCCTGTGGCTGGCAGGACCAAATGCTGAAGGCGCAAGGGAACGCTGTTCCCTTCCCACCAAAGTGGTCCCTATTTTTCTACTTGCATTTTTACGTGCTTTTGAACTGCTAGGTTGGCAGAAGCTGGGACAGGTCACAGGAGCTCACTCCGTTATGCAGTGCTAGGGATTCTAACTGCCAAACTACCGACTTTTTTGATCGACAAGCTCTGCGTCTTGGCCACTGAGCCTCTGTAGCTACCCCGAAAAGAAATCTCTTTGTTCTTGGGAATAAAATGAATCTCCTTTCTCTACAGCGTGTCTGCATTTCATTTTGGATTTCTTCTTCGGTTCCACCTCGGTTCATGGAACCCTCAAATTATTCTTCTAGCAGCAGGTTGCAATAGCCCCATGCGTATTTTGTGACAGGGTTGTTGAAGGATTTGCATGAATACCCTTCCTTTCAGGGTGTCCTTCTCTCTCCTGGAATTTGCAGCCTGCTTGGCTTCCTACATTAAACCTCAAAGATTTTTACACAGGGAACACCTCCCATGGATAAACACTCTGCTCCATTCAGTTGCCCAGACTCCACCCCGCAAGGGATTATGGGGTTGTTAAAAGATTATGACGATCTTCCACTAGCACACATGGAGACACCAGTGTTAAGTGACTGAAGATGATCACGGAGGATCAATGACTATTTTGACAGAAAGTTCCATATTTTCTCAATCATAGAAGAATACCAAAAGGACAGTTGACTTGTGGAGAGGACAACCATGATTCTGCCCAAACTGGGAAGCTCTTTAGTTGCAGCTGGATTGTACCACTACAACTCACAGAATTATCTTGGATAGTTCTTCCAAAATAGAGGGTTCTGTACAATTAGAAACCCTGTGAGCTCAGTCCTGTTGTTGACCTACACAAGGCTTGAGTGAGATTTTGAGAAGCTTCAGTTCTCAGGTTCTTGATGGAAAAACCACAACAGAGAGAGATATCCAGAGACTTATCTAGAGAGCCACATTTTACTGTACACTGTCTTCCAAAGCTTTGCAAAACACGTTTAATGGCAATAAAAGAAGACAACTTACATTCCCAAAATTTCTTCGTGCTTTTTGTTATCTTTTCCCCAGATCTCAATTTCCAATACATCTTTCCTGTCAGAGAAGTAATGAAAATCAAACTGTTCCCTCCACTGTGGATTTGCACTCTTACACAGCGTCTGGAAAACACAGAGTGATAAGATTTATCGTTCTTTAAAAAAAAAGATTGCAGCTTTCATATATATTTTTTTAAATGTACCCACCGAAAAAGGGAGGCAAACTTTTAAGACCAACAAGTACGAAGAGGGAACAGCTGTCTTCTACAACACAGCAGGGAAATGGGGGTGGGTGGGTGAAACCCCTTTTTATACTACGCGTGGGAGAATTTAAACTTCTGACATCGAAACCAAAGGGCCATGCATACTTGCCTATCCGAGGAAACAGTTAAGTTGCTTCAGAAGGCAGAGAGAGCTGGGGCAGACGTTGTACTTGTTTTCATTCCATTAAATCCAAATGTATTTAATACGGTTAATGTAATCACCCTATTAAACACAAAAAGGCTTTTTGGGGGAGTGGGGGGGGCTTGAAGCATGATGGGTGTTATAGCCAGTGGGGACTGTCTATTTGGATTAGAAAGGCTGGAGAAGGGATAGGAGCTCTCCAAAGCTTATTTGTCAGTAAACAAAAGTGTTGGTAATTCTCGGTTTTGCTCGTTTTCTTTATTTCAGCATTTTGGCCAGGTTGGTATCCTCCAAGTGCTTGGACTTCAAAGCCCAGAATTCTTAGCTGGGAATATGCTGGATGGGGGATTCTGGGAATTGAAATGAACTCATCTGGAGGGTGATTCAGGTGATGTAGAGAAAGATCCTTGTCTATGAGCCACGGTGGCACAGTGGTTAGAGAGTGTGGTACTGCAGGCTACTTCTGCTGACTGCCGGCTGACTGCAATTTGGCAGTACAAATTTCACCAGGCTCAAGGTTGATTCAGCCTTCCCTCCTTCCAAGATGGGTAAAATGAGGACCCAGATTGTTGGGGGCAAGAGGCTGACTCTGGAAACTGCTTAGAAAGGGCTATAAGAGCACTGTAAAGCGGTATATAAGTCTAACAACTGAATGAAAAACTGCTGAAAAACTGAATGAAAAACTTCTACTGCTGCACCATAGAGAGTATTTTAACTTACTGCACCTCTGTATGGTTTGCCAATTGCACAAGGGCAGATAGGAAAGCACTCCAGAGGGTGAACATCATTGCCCAGAGGATCATGGGTTACCCTCTCCCCTCTTTGGAAGAGCTTTATAGCTCCTGTTGCCTTAAGAAAGTTCAAAACATCCTCAAAGATCCATCTCATCCTGGGAACCCCCTTTTTTGAAGTATTACCATCTGGCAGACAGTACAGGATAATAAAAACAAGGACAAACAGGCTGAAAAACAGCTTCTATCCCAGGGCAGTAACTCTGTTGAATTCTACTATATAGTGCAGTGTTGGTGCGGTGTGGCGGGTTTTCGGTTCAGTGTGTGGAGGTTGAAGGATGTGTGTTTGTGTTTATTTTCATGGTCATGATGTGCACTGAAGAAGGTGTTTGATTTCATGGTATGAGGTGCAATGACAATTAAGTAAACAAAACTAAACTAAAGCGCTATTGCTACATCAGAGTTTTCCAATCTTTCCGAGTTGGCGGCCCTGAGTGGATGGCAGGGGGAAAGGTTTTGTGGGAGGGGTAGGAGCGGGCACATACCTATGCATCTATACAAATACCCGCCACTCGTGCGACTGGGGGCATGAGTGCCCCCGCCCACAACACTTCCAGTGACAGTTGCACGAATGGCTGCGAGCACCCATGTGACGCTCACACGAGTGAGACTGTGCGCATACACATATGTGCGTGCACCAGCCAGCTGCTCACATGGCCCAGTGGCCAATAGCCTGTGGCCCAGTAGTTGGCTGTGGCCCACAGGTTGGGGATCTCTGGTCTACATAGAAAGTAGCATGATCTCGTATGATACAAATCCATACATTAAATTATAGTTCAGGTCTGACTGACTTTCCGTTGGATGGACTTGCTTCAGATCACACCTGTTGGCAGCACACCTGTCTCAAGCATGCTTACCCGACTTTTGAATTTTTCCTGGCCCATTTTCAACAAAACGAAGATGCAGGTCATGCCCGCCATGGGGATATTCCTTCCTTCCAGTAAAGCCACAGTAACTGTGCCATTCCACAACTGGTTTTTTTGCAGCGTGTCGACCAGCCTGCTGGTTCTCATGAAACTTGCCTAAAATTGGGGGAAAAAAATAAAAATACAATTTGAGAAGCTGAAAGGAGGAGTATGTCACTGAAGGCTCAAGGCGGGATTGCACAACCATTTGTCTGAAACAGTACAGGGTTTCCTGTCTAAGCAGGGGGTTGGGCTGGAAGACCTCCAAGGTCCCTTCCAACTCTGTTATTTAAATTTGATCGACTGGGCCAAAGGTGTTTAAAGGTTGTTCATGGCAACCGGACTAAATGAAAAGGAGTATAACAGCCTCACCAAGAGGAACAACCAAATTATTCTGTTTGCACCCTGTAGATATTCCTCCATTCACTCATCTACAAACTGTTCCATCTAGTTTCTGTGCTTATTGATATACAGTATTTAAAGAGGAAAAAAAAAACATTAAAAGGTACGTTTATTTTGTCTCTGAATGTGACTTTTCTCCTGGACGCTCCCTCAGGCATGAGGTTTAGAGGTCAGCGGTGCCCATCATTGTGAGTTTGCGCTTCCTGATTTGTCCTCAACTGTCATTACTCTTATTACCCTTGGTTGGTTTGGTTTAAATGCTATGTACGCTACAGCTCACGATTGTGAGATAGGTGACTGCATCAACTGATTACATAAATACATAGATTTTTAAAAAAATGTTCTGAATTCCTTAAGTATTCCACAGCATTTTTCCAACATCTCAAAGCTGACTTTTTAAGGTTTTTTTTATCATCTCTTTTGAACATTGCCCTTAGAGAGGGCCGTAAAAGCACTGTAAAGCAGTGTATAAGTCTAACAACTGAATGAAAAACTGCTGGTGACCTTCTACTGCTGTACCATGTAGAGCAGGGGTGTCCAACCTTGGCAACTTTAAGACTTGTGGACTTCAACTCCCAGAATTCCTCAGCCAGCAAAGCTTTTGGCAAAGCTGGCTGAGGAATTCTGGGAGTTGAAGTCCACAAGTCTTAAAGTTGCCAAGGTTGGACACCCCTGATGTAGAGTATCTTAACTTACTTGAATTCTACCGTATAGCGCAATATTAATGCAGTATCAGGGGGTTTTTCAATTCAATTGCATGGAATACGAAAGATATGCGTTTATTTTCATAGTCATAACGTACACTGAAGATGGTATTAAATTTTGTTGTATGAGGTGCAATGACAATAAAGTAAACTAAAAACAAAACAAAACTGGTATGTAGACCAGAGGTGGTATGTTCAGCAGGTTCTGACCAGTTCTGGAGAACCGGTAGCGGAAATTTTGAGTAGTTTGGAGAACCGGCAAATATTACCTGACTTGAGAGTTCACAATATCTTTCCCCTGCCACGCTCACCAAGCCACACAGCCCACAGAAACGGTAGTAAAAAAAATTTGAATGCCACCACTGATGTAGTCATTGTTTATCTCTACGTGCCTGTTGGCGGCCAATATGTTTGAGTGCCAGGCTTTCAGAAATTCTCTTAGCGTTTTTGGACTTCGTTTGGTCCAGAAGGGAGTTTGTTGCTAAGTTCCCTAGCAACCCCTCCCTTCTAAAGCATCCTTCCTTGTTTTCAGATCTCCACTAAGCTTTTTATAAAACCACATTAGCTTCTTCTACTACCTTTTCCCCCCCCCACCTTAGAATCGTTTGCCAAACACTTCCACTTCAAGCTCCTTTTTGCAGTAGCTTCTCCTGCCCTGCAATTCCGCTTATCGCTGCTCTGAGATTAAAACCCTTCTTATTAACAGGGAGGATACTCGGAGGAATAGCTGCAAATAGAGGCTGGACCATTTATTTATTTACAGAGCTGGTAGGCCACACCAATCTCCCAACACCGAACAGCCTACAAGCCTCTGATGTATAATTAGTTTTAAGCCATATAGTCAGTGAAAAAAAACAAACAAACCAACCAACCAGCTACCACATAATGTTCTTATGGAACTGGGAATCCTGAATGGAAGCGTTAACAATAACAATAAAAGACTCAATCTCGTGACCCAAGAGGAAGTGACAACAAAGCAATTCACCCGGATTTGATGGAACAACCAGGTTGTCCCCAATTTCCTAAAAGGCAGAGGAGGGAAAAGTGTGATCACATATGGGGGAGGAAGAGCACAATTTCAGAGGAACTGAGGAGGTACACTTGTGGCAATTCCCCAGTCGAGGTAAACTTGCTGGACAGACAGATGATACCGGGAGAAAGTGGTCGCTGAGATACCCAAAAGACGAAAAAGCTTAAAAGTGACAAGCAATACCTTGAATTGCACCTAGAAGCCAATTGGCCACCAACAGCAGCTGTTGATACAGACGTGATATGCAAGAGCCTTGAGATGCGCCCACCGTGGCTTGAGCCCCTGCGCTCTAATCAGTTGTAGCTTTTGAACAATCTTCCAAGGCAGCCCCTTGAAGAGCGTATTGCAATAGTCCAACTGGGAAATGGCTAAGAGAGATGACCAAACAACAAAGACTGGGAGCTAAACTTACGATGAACCTTAAGGAGTTCATCGAGGAGACAAGCAACCTGGAATTCAGGAGAAACTTCCTAACAGGGAGGACAATTGACCAGTGGAACAGAAGTTGCCTTCAGAAGTTGAGGGTGCTTCATCATCACTGGAGGTTTCTAAGAAGAGCCTGGAAAGTCTCTTGTCTGAAATGGGACAGGATCTCCTCCTTGACCAGGGGGCTGGTCCCTTCCAGGTCCCTTCCAGCTCTATTCTGGTTCTAAGGAACTAGCCTATTGAAGAAAAGGATGACATGATAGCTGTCTTCCAGTACCTGAGGGGGTGTCACAGAGAAGAGAGGACTGACTTATTTTCTGAGGCACCAGAAGTAGAACAAGAAGCAATGGGTCGGAAGCTCGTTCGAGGGAGATCTGTCTAGAGGAGAACTAAAGAGAAGTTCCCTGACAGTGAAAACAAGGAATTGGTGGACTAGCTTACCTTCAGAAGTTGTGGGTGCTCCATCACAGGAGGTTTTGCAGAAGAGATTGCACAACCATTGGTGCATGATGGAATTAGGTCTCCTGCCTTGAGGGTTGAACTAGAAAACCTTCAAGGTCCCTTCCAGCCCTATAACTCAATGAGTGACCGTGAGCAATCTCAGCTGTTCCAAGACAGGTCACATTGGATGCAGAAGAGGGAACAGGGCAAAGGCCCCCTTGGCCCCCAGGAGCAGGAGGGACGAGTCTAAGAGCATCTCGAAACATGACCCAGCTCTCTCCGGAGGAAGTCGTAGCCCGGTTCGGAGGGAATAAAGGGCATCTCCCTGGAATTGACAAACCTGTAACTTTGAATGGTCATCAAACAAACTGTTGTAAGTCAAGGACTACCTGTCCTTCAGCGCTCGGACAGATCTTTTTCCTCCCTTACAGCAGAAAACTCTGCCCTCCCTCCCATTTTCCTGTTTCACTATCCTTTGAGGTGGGAGAGGAAGGAAGGAAGGAAGGAGGGAGGGTAAGGGAGAGAGGGAGGGTAAGGGAGGGAGGGAGGATGAAAGAAAGGAAGGAAGGAGTGAGAGATGATGGAAGGAAGGAAGGAAAAGGGAGGGAAGGAGGAACGAAGAAAGAAGAAAGGGAGGAAGAGGAAGGGAGGGAGGAAGAATGAAAGAAAGAAGAAAGAAAGAGCGAGGGAGGAAGGAAGAAAGAAAGAAAGAAAAAAAGGAAGGACGGAAGGAAGGAGTGAGAGGTGATGGAAGCAAGGAAGGAAAAGGGAGGGAAGGAGGGAAGGAGGAAGGAAGGAAGGAAGGAAGGAAGGAAGGAAGGAAGGAAGAAAGAAAGAAAGAAAGAAAGAAAGAAAGAAAGAAAGAAAGAAAGAAAGAAAGAAAGAAAGAGGAAGGGAGGAAGGAAGGAAGGAAGAAAGAAAGAAAGAAAGAAAGAAAGAAAGAAAGAAAGAAAGAAAGAAAGAAAGAAAGGGAGGGAGGGAGGAAGGAAGAAAGAAAAGGAAGAAAGGAAGAAAGAAGGAGGGAGGGAGGGAGGAAGAAAGAGGGAGGAAGAGAGGGGGAGGGAGGGGAATGGAGGGAAGGAGGGGGGAGAGAGAGAGAGAGGGAGAGAGGGAGGGAGAGGGAGAGGAAGAGAGATGAGAGAAATGTCAGCCAAAGATCAAAGCTGCAATCGGCCAATTGCCTAACGGAAAAGCAGCCTGCACTTCCCCGAAATATGTTCTACAGTAAAATAACTGTGTGGCTCCCAATCTCTCCCCCCCCCTCTGGCTTTTTCAAGCGGAGTGTTTGTCTTGGAAAGGGCTCTTCCTCGCTTCTCCATAAAAAGCAAGTCCCACTCAAGCTCTGGGAGGGTCCACGGAAACGGAGTCTAAGGCTGGCCATTAAAAAAAAAGAGAAAGAAAGAAAGAAAGAAAGAAAAAGAAAAAGAAAAGGGACCAGGAGATGGCTTCCATATGGCCGGACAGCAGGGGAGTGAAAGGGCCAAAGTCTACAGCCGGCTACATTTGGCGAGGAGCTCCTCGGTCTTCCCATGGACACTCGTTGCATTACGGAAGAACATCTGGATTATTGCTTGCAATGTCCCTGGGAAATATCCATTCCCCCATCAAAGGGCTTTATCTATCGGCGCTGCACTTTGAACATTTCAGCGCATAAGGCAGCCTGGTTTGAAGCGGCACTTGCCGCCTTCCCATCCAAAGCCATTCCTCCCACTGTTTTTGGAACACACACACACACACACACACACATGCAAGGCCTCCCTTGGTTTTTCTTTCCCCCTCCCCTCCTTGTCCTGGGTTGCGGGGGAGGGGAGAGGAAAGGAGGGGGGTTTTTTGAAGAGAGTTCCCAAAAAGGCATCATTTTGGAATTACTTTTTTTTTTTTTTCCCCTCCCTTGAAAGACTCCATGGGTTCCTGGAATGAAACGCTTGGAGAGGGGAGGAAAAGGGGAAGGGAGAAAACGAAGAGCGCGGGGAAGGGAAGAGGGGGAAGAAAAGAATAATATTTGGGGTTTTAAATCAGAAGGCGGCATCACTAGCCAGAAAGGAGGCTCCAAAAACGGGCCGTAGAGGACGGCCTTTATTTAGGAAGCTGACGCAAACTCGTGGGATAGCAGG